CCGGCCGACAGCAAGGCTTGTTGCAGACTTGACCAGTGTTGATCAACACCCAGAGTGTGAGAGACAGCGAGATTTTCACGAAGCATTTATTGAGACTATTTCCTCACCACTCGGTCCTCCACCTTGTAGGTGTTCAGTCGGGTGTGTTTTGACCTAGACGAACCACCGAAAGCGTGCAAACGGTCGCACACACCAGTACATGATCAGTATCGACGCATGTTGACCACAATGATCGGCTGTCGCGTACGCTGCCGCGCCACCTGCGACTTATAGCTATGTGGTCAATCTGTGACCAGCGCTGGCTTGATGATGGAAGGCGCCAAGTGGCGTACTGGTGTCCAGGATGACGAAAGCTGGTGCTGGTGAGGAATAGTCGATGATCAGCACACAGACTGAGCAGTCTCTCTCCATTGTCTGAGCGAATATCATCATATCCATGTGGTCCCCCGAGGTGGCGCTCACATGGCAGCAGACGACCGACACGCGCTTTGAAATCACCTGCCAAAACAATGATGTCTGTTTTAGGAGCCCTTAAGAGCAGCTCATGAAGTTTCTGGTAGAACTGGTCTTTGATGTTGTCCAAACTACAGTCAGTGGGCGCGTAGGCAGAGCTCAAGAATAGAGCATGCTTTTCGACTCGACGTCTGCTAAATTTACAAGAGCCGTGGAGCCTCATCGCACAAAGGCGGCTATTGATCGGAATCCAATCAATCAAAGCAGTCTCGGCTCTAGCACTGAGGGCGATTCCAACAACAGCTTGCCCAGATGCGGCAGACTCGGCGTCACCAGAGAGGCGTAGATGGAAGCGGGTGCGTGGGTGGAGCGGTGACACCAGCTAGTAGACGGAGTTAGAGTCCTGGAGTCGTGTTTCAGTCAGGCAGCAGATATCAATTCCAAGGGACTCTATCGTGCGTGCAAGTCCAGCTTGCTGACCGATCTGCAGTAATGTGCGTACGTTGAAGGCTGCAAGTTTGAACTGCGTTCCGGGTTGCAGGAGCGAAGATGGGTAACTTTGGGACCGGCAGCTCTCTGTTGAGTACTGTGTGGTTGAGTTGGCAGATGTCACGGGAACAGGTTTATCAGGGTAGGTGGGGTTGAAAGCCATAGAGGAATCAGGTAAAAATGGGTGTGAATGGTACAAGGGAAGAGTAGGTTAAATGGTGGCGTGTGCTTGTGCAGTTGGCATAGTGACATCAGTGAATAGCATGGAAGCAGCAGGAGAGCGGGTGAATGGTTGTGGTTGTAAGTCCATGGTTCGTCAGTGAGCGAGATACTACCCGGTTGCTCCGACCTTAATAACGTGACCACTGAATTAAAGTGTTTACCCAGAAGACAAGAAAAAATAACTGGGGTGCAGTACCTCCAGTAGGGAATAACACAGGAATTGGCAAAACGAAGTATCAAACCCAGAAGGACAGAAAAGGCACTCAGCTGTTTTGCAAAGGCATGTTTTATGTGAATCATCCAAGACAAATCGTGGTTCAATACCCCAACCATTTTCACGATTGATGTAAAAGAGCTTGACCCATCGTCGTCAATATGAGGATTGCAGCGCTGCATGAGAAGCAACGCATAACTGGCTCCTTTGTGTAGCGAACAATAAACATAATGAAATCGATGCGGTAAAAAACAAATTACGGGCTTTGGAGCAAACATTGAGATTGTACAGTATGTCTAGCACTCTGAGTGAACAATCTGCGGTACAATGACTTATAAGCAGGATTACGCCGTCAGCATACTTTAGTAAGTTCGCTTATTGAGAGAAAAGTATTGAGCCACCGTAAGTAGAAATGAGAAGAGACAGGATTTCTCCCTTAAGAGCACCGGATTTGGTGCTTATATCAAAACACTATATTTTATTGTATCGGGTAATCTGAATGATTCTAACAAAACAGTCCATCCGGAAAAGTATGATGGAGGGATAGGATCTCTGAATAAGTAGATCCCTTAGCATCATTTCAAGAAAACACTTTCGAGTGGCTGAGTTTCTCTTATCAAGTGACGACAGTACAGGATTTAGGAGGCAGACTACTGCATCCAGGATAGGCCTCGAAATAAGTTAGACCAAATGGAAGGGGTCATTCGAGCAGGTTTGCGACAGTACACATTTTAGGCATGATTTTCTCCAAAAAAAGCTTCAAGATAACAGAATTTCATGCGCTTGAACGATACTTGCCGGATATTTTGGCGCTGGCTTAGTACTGGAAAATCCCTAACTGTCAGTGATTTCACGTTGCTGCTTACACATCGTGTATGCAGATGCAAGTGGGGTTTCCAATAAATCAGCCCATTCTTTTAGTATAACGGGATTTAGTCTGACCGAGCTACTAGTTTTACCGAAACATAGGTTCCTTAGTAAAATAAGCACAACTTTACTGTCGGCAAGAGTCGGTGAGTCTACAGACCCCAGAAGGTTGGCACTGTAAGGCTTTCGGATTATAGTACAATTATAGGTAGAGAACCGAGTACAGTATCCCTACATCCGCAACTAAGTAGGGTACAGGACAAGTAACCACTAAGCTGCGTCGGCGTCGTCCAGATTTGGCGACAGCTGTCATTCCCAAGAACAGAATGGACATAGACTTGCTTTATACGACGTAGTTCCTGCTTGCTGGTTTCGGGCCTAACTGCGAGGCGCGATACCTCTGGTACAAAGTCTGCCGCTTGGAATACTTTAATTGCAATAGCGAACCACTTCATTCTCCTTCATCTACTTCTCCTGTCTTCTCATCTCTCACGATCCCATCGACTACATATTAAACATCTCGCCCTAGTCAAATCAAAGCTTTCTCTTGCATAGTACACACCGCATTATTTCTTCATCACCCTGTGCTTTCTTGCCCAATGAAAAGTACACAATTCGCCCCGATAATGCTCCTCCCATCTATGTTCCGTGTACTTTTGCGTCTAAATTACACCGTGCACCTATTCTAGCCTGGTCTAAATCAGTCCGTACAAACCAGTATGTGAAAGTAAAGTTATATAATAAGTGCTTTCTTATAAATGTATGCACATGGCAAATAAATCAAACAAGTTCCACATGTATGAGTATCAAGACCCCGTTTATCATGAGCCCTATTCACTTGCGTTTGGATGCTCTTGTTCATATGCTTCTTCTCTTTATCCCATTGATGACAGCTGCAAAGAAACCTCGATAGAACTCCCATGATCTTCATCATCGGCCGTCCTTCGCGGAGGAACAAAGCTGCAACTTGTCAACTGCGCACTGCCTTAGAATGAATTTTGCTTCAGTGCATTTATTTGCCTACTTATGTTTAATCAGTAGACGGTACTGGACAAACTTTATAATAATATTCGTACGTATATTTCATGTGCTCCGAGGAAGTGTTTGGATAGGCAGAGATCAATTTGACCAAAGGTAATCATGCTTTTGCATGGCCGATATGCATGCTTGATATTAAGTGCAAAGACTAGACGCGATAAATGAGATATCAGACTACATCATTGTCGTAAGTATTCGGTGGCTAACGTAAGAAGACTACATCACATCAAATTTAAGCACACCGCGGCAAACAGAAAGCAATACCAATACTGCTGTCTGTATATTATTTAACTCATCAGTACATTTGATATCTGATAATTTATATGTTACATGTTTACATTTCGAAATAATTAGAACAAAACTGCTGCTGCAACCCACACAGTAGAAAACTACCTGTACTATATTCATTATCAGGTTGCTCATACGATTCCATTTAAAAGTAGGCAAGTCGGAGCAGAAAGCTTGGAATTAGGATTTCCATACGTTAGTTTATTATAATATTTTGTCACAGATTCTGACCGAATCCCAGTTGTGGGAGTATCACACAGTCACAGTTTCTAAAAGCCAGATACGATAACTACTTATTAAGCGAAAGCATTTTTTGACACCTCAGCAAGGAGACAATTAAGTAAGATAGGTTTGGTGGATAATCTTGACACCGAGCTCTCCGAGTTTGTTGAAATATGGTTGCATTTTGATGCAGAAGAGTTTTAGCTGACCAAATAATAACCTACTGACTGGTTGGCTTAGGCGTAATTAGTGAGTTATGCTTTGATGTCATTTAAAAGATTGCAGCCTTGCATCTCTTGGTTTTCGCTTTTCTTGTACAAATCTGAATTTAGAGTAGTTACTAGCGTATTCTGCTATTAACTTCTTAACAATGAGAAGTATGTCAAGACCGAACAAATGAATATTCCGGCTGTGGCCATACGGGTTCACTTTTAATTATTTAATCGCCATTCATGCTGATGTATTTCGTAGCAATTACTGAAAATTTTGGGAGTTCTTACTTCTTATTATATATTACGATTTTCATATCGCTATGCTCCGTCAATGCCCAGTGGTAGAACTTCATTTAGACCTATTAAAAGGACTATCCCATCAGTAGAAATAGGGAGTAGACTAAATCACTGGTCAGGATATTAAATTTGTACTGGGAAAAATAAATTAGTAGAGTATCCGCACTACGCATTTTTCTGGTAACATATCGTGATATTTACGCTTATTCATTTCTACTTACAATGCAATTCTCCCCTCCTCAGAGAACCACTGAGGGGCGACCATGCAAGTATCATTCTGTCTGAATTCATGTCGGGTTATTGGACCATAGGTATGATCACGAAGCGGTGAACCAATAGTCCATTTAGGCCGAAACATACAACCTATTTAAATTGTATTGTGGCTGTCTGTGACAAAAGCTGCTTTCCTTGAATTATATGAATACTGAACTGGGCACCATAGACAGAATTTCTAAGCTTAGTACTGTAGTCTATGTATACAACGTACCGCTTTGACAATATGAAAGATTTTTGGGAAAGTGCCGCAATATCTGCAGTTACTCAGTAAAGTTAAACGGATAGATAGTATACTACATGTAGTGCAAAACTATGTAATGGAATCTGGTGGTAATTGACAATGGAGTTGACTAAGTAGTGGCATTTAGCTGGAACAGGTAAGTTTACCAAATTGTGAGGCTATATGTGTGAAATCCTGAGGATTACTGATAGAATTCGCAAATGCATTCAACTAAATCCGAGATCAGAGGTAGGAAATCGACATAGCATATATTTTCCATAACCTGGGCTGACTGTTTAGCTAAAAAAGAAACCACGCTTTGGTGATCATATATGGACTTACCGGAAACCGTGGTCTGTGTTTGGATTGCTTCATACTTGTAAGCAGTTGCTGTGCAGGGGAAAAGAAGTTGCAACCAGAGAGAATGCAGCGAAGGACACTTGTTACACCAAGAAAAAAACAGGATAGATTGGGGTCTTATTAACTATGTAGTTGTAACAGATCCGTATAACCGTTAGAGTCGTTGAACATATTGACCATTCAAGGAGACCTGAGCAGCGGGCATACGATCACAACAAACAGATGGTTCAATTATACGATACTTGTTATTGTCAGAACTGAAGATAGTTACCGGTGATGCAAATTATCCTACATATAACACAGACAAATGTGTGCAGACATAATTTTACTCCATTTGCTCCTCCTATAAACATGGGCAAAAAAGTGACCAATCGAAATTACTTCCGATAGTGAGATGAAATGGAAACAGAAGTTTGAATGTGAGAGCCGAGATGTGCGGCCTAAATGATAGCCCAAAATCACTCAATAGCTGAGGGATGCGTATTGGTCGTGCGTTCCTATCAATGGAGCCTTCGCACATAGCCGTGCTCACTCAGTTCGCTCTGCGGAATTAACAATCAATCTTTCGACAATATTTGTTACCCATTTCCGCAGCTAAGCATTCAACAGTTACTGGTTTAATGATAAAAACACAGTACTTCGAAGAGTTTGTGTTTCCAAACAAGGTGTATTGTCATGCGTCAGAAGCAGGATTCGGAAATGTATGGCAGTAAGCAACGTTTCGTGGTGTGCCTACATGTCTAACCCTGATTCCGAAACATAGTGGAAATTCCTCATTCATCGCAACCAGTAAACTACATTTGTCTGTCTGGTCAAGGGGAAATAAGAAGTGTCTAGCTAAAGGTCTCACAACGAAGACAAGCTTCTTTACATATGAATACACACTATTCCACTTTGTGTACTACCTTAAGCAACACACGATTAGCGCTTCTACTGATGTTGGCTAACTTAACACAGTGTATTTCGATTACGGCGTTATTCAAGCTCAGATTGATCGGGTACGGTCTTTGTTCCATACTGGACCTGATGGTCTATCAACTACTCTAATAGAGTTTGGGGCTGGATATATCGCTCTTGTTTCTAAAGGTTATGTCCTATCTATGATTTTGGGTATATTCCCGAGTCAATGGAAACTATATGGTAGAACCTAGACATAAGAATGGTTCAAAACTAGACATCAAAATATTACCGTCCAATTAGCCACACTGCGATTATTGCGCGACTAATGAAAAGACTTGTGAAAGAGAAAACTGTTATGTACTTGCTCCCATTGAATTTGATAGACTCAATTCAACATGGGTGTTTGCAAAGACGCTCATGTCAGACTTGTTACCTTTCTATTCTTAACCATCTGACAAGCTCCACTGACAGTGGTAAAGCAGACATCATGCACTTTATTGATATAATAAGGAGCATGATGTCTGCTTTACCACTGTCAGTGGAGCTTGTCAGATGGTTTAGAATAGATAAGTAACAAGTCTGACATGAGCGTCTTTGCAAACACCCATGTTGAATTGAGTCTATCAAATTTAATGAGAGCAAGTGCACAACAGTTTTCTCTTCCACAAGTCTTTTCATTAGTCGCGCAATAATCGCAGTGTGGCTAATTGGACGGTAATATTTTGATGTCTAGTTTTGAACCATTCTTATGTCTAGGTTCTACCATATAGTTTCCATTGACTCTGGTAGATATATATATATATATATATATATGTATATGTATATATATAAGGCCTTTGACAGAGTGCCGCACAACAAACTTGATAAAGTTTACCAATTTCGGGATCACTGATCCTTTGTACACAGGGTTCAAACCTTACCTATCTGATCGAACACAGCAGGTACAAACAGGACCTACTAACTTTTCACCACTGGAGATCAAAAGTGGTGTGATTCAAGGAAGTGTGTTAAGCCCCTTGTTCTTCCCCATGTATATCAATGATAGAATCGAAAGAGTAATGTTTGGGACACGCTATAACTTTGCGAACGATATAAAAACACTATAAACCTTCGATATCAGGTGTTTGAGCGACACGCTAGAAAAAGTTCGCATGAACCTACTAGTCTTAGAATCGTGGTGCAGACTGGCAAATGTCTTTCTCAGCGGACAAATGCAGTGTGTTAACATCCAAGTGCGAACTTGATGGTAAACCCATTCCCTGCAATAAGCCTATACGAGATCTAGGCATCCGGTATTCTAACGCTTGGGATTTTGGTGAACAAGTTGAATCCGTAACGGCCAGATCACGAAGAAGCGCAAAATCCATCTTAAAATCGCTGTCGATGTGTGAACCTAAAGTGTACTTGTTTAACGCCTGCGCTTGCTCTGTGCTAAAATATTGTTCGATTAGCTTTCCAAGCAGCAGGAAAGGTGATCGCAGTTGCCTGGAAAACATGCAGATATCATCCGCAATTGCTCTTTTTAAATCTTCGTCTAAACTTAACTACTCTGAATGTTGTAAGATGCCACTGTGGATTAGACGCATGCAATTTGGATTCACATTCCTCTTTGATTTTATCTATAAGCGCGTTTTTGCGCCAATATCAACCTTCATTTCAAGAAGGAAGGTAGATACGCAATTAAAAATACTGAGAACAAACCCCCGGAGAATAAAACGGAAACTTATTTCCGAAGAAAATTCTTTCTAAACAGGTGTACTGAGATCTGGAACAGCCTCCCTATTAAAATAAGAGCATGAGACTCACAACCGCTGTGTAAAAGAGCAGTTTCACCGCGCCTGACGGTGCAATACGTAAAACAATGTTGCAACTAAATTACAATGAAAATGTGTTATTTGAATATGGGACCGAGAGGTAACTGCGTTTTTGACAAATATACATGCGGGTTGAGGTGAACAAATAATCGTTTTCCGTATGCACTTGAACATAAACCACGTTTGTCGCTCCCTCCTGGAACTCAGTTGAATAAATCACCTGACAGCGTTTGGAAATTGGATGCTTCCGGTACGTAAAAAGCACACACCATTACGCGAAGCGAACGCATTTGATCTTATTATATGAAGTTATCAGGATGTGAAATCGGGACAACAGGGATATCAGTTGGGACCTCAACGCCTTTCGCTACGGGTCGCGACGGGCAACTCTTAGCACAACGGATAATGATTGATCAGATGGTCATTTTGAAGTACTCGCTGTTTGCTTGGATTGCAACGCGCAATCTCAAGGTGGGTCGTGATTCAGGTTATAGTGAACATTTGTCAATGTGTCGCTCGTCGTGTCGCAGTGGCCTAAAGATAGTGGTCCACGCTAACATCCCAATGGTCTCGGATTCAAAGCCCGCTATCTCCACTTGATGAGATCAAATGAAGTCGAAACCAAAGTTCGCTTTAATGTGAATCATGGTCCACACCGAGATTGGGCGTTGCAATCCAAGCACACAGTGAGTACTTCAATATGTCCATCCAACCCATCCGAAAGGTTATCAAATAAAGTCACCCACTCAGTATAGCCAGCTCCAGTGCCGCCAAAAGTTATTCCCACATCCGGCATGAAACCCCTTATATGTACACAGATGCACGACATGACAACGAGTTATTGGGATACATATCTCCACGTCACTTGTTCTGGCCAGGATCTTACACTAGAAAACCAAACCATGTCTGCCTACATTAAAAACAGGTAGGTTTAATACTGTTACTATGAGAACTACGTGGGTACACCACACTCCGCCTTTAATAATATTTACACATTTTCCATGAGTTTATTATTTTCATCTCGGTCATCCTATAGAGTCTGTTAAGAATAGCTTTTTACTCGTTATTTAATTCTTTTACTACACAATACCTCAAGGACCAAGTTTTATCAGAGCCTTATAGAAGAGTTCACTAGAGAGGTCATTCGGAATACTCGTTTTGTGTTAAATGACTCCGACGCAAATTTCAAATGCGATCCGCTATTAAAGTGGCAGTGAATATTCTTTCAATTTGGCAAATTAACGGGTTTTGCTGGCCACATTGCACTGGGCTCTATGACTGAGTTCGTACTTTTTGAACTCATAAGTCAGAGATTGAAGACAGCAATCCGAACACGAGACCGTAAGCTGCCTGTCGGAAGCTCTGTCCCGAAGTATTCGAGTAGCAGGCACTGCCTCAAACTAACCCATCTGACTAGTTACCGTCCGTTGTATCTGATTGCTTGCGATTCTCTTGCTTGGTGGCACTCTCTCATGCATGCATCCTAAATTCCAGAACTATAACCGCAGTCATACCATGTCCAAATGACTAGCGGTCATGAGCATGAAACCGGTCTGGAGCGCGGTGTCGTGAGCAAGCAATACCTAAATTTGCTTCTCATGGAATGCCCTAATCCTCCGACGGATGATAAGTGTGTGGATTCAACCAATTTCCTGCGGTATTTAGATATGATGATGAACCGCGAACCATTTTGGTCGCATCATTTGAACAAAGCTCCGCAAGCGTAAGGAGGCTTGCTTTCTAAGTTTCTCATTTAGTATCATTCAAAACCCTACTAGTTATCGTTACGTGTGACGTAAGCCAGGGTGAATTCAAGGTGCAGGCCTTAGTGGTTTCGGCCTCTCTTAATGAAGTGTTTAATGAACGAACTGCGAGAGCTACTTGCTAGGTTACCACTACCTAACCACCTTACATCACCTAAGAGATTCGGAACAAGGCAGCTAATCGGAGTCTAGTATTTACCAATGGGGAACTTTCGATCGACACAGTAACAATGCTCACGCATTGATCAAGCAAACTGTTTTTCCACTACGTCCTTTACGTAAGGCAGTTCAACAGGTATATCGAAGAGGTCCTTGTAGTAACACATTATATTTTATCCCAAACCTTCAAGATAACTGCTTGGTCATCTCTAGCAGAACAACCCGAAGAAGTCGCTTTTGGGAACTTCGTCAATCATCTTAGTACGCTTGTATCAAACTCACCAAACTTAACTCTTTAGTACCAAAAGGGAAAAACCATTCCTGAGGATCGGGATGCAGAAATGAATGACACTTGAGATTTCCTTTGGAAAACATACAAAGCTGATCAATACTC